TATATATATATATATATATATATACACCAACTAATGGATATCAGAAGACAACGCTGGAAGGCGATTTCAGACCTATCAAACCTGCCTAAGAGCGTGCTATGCAAAGAGTGGACTGTTACACCGCTCCGGATGCTGCTCACAAAAGGACTGAATTTTGAATAAACCGAGCACTACCATTTTCTCGCGAGATAAATGAATACGTACAAATACATATAGTCTACATTTGGGTTTTATTTAAACATATCAAGCACGCGAGTTGCTTAAAGTTTCACGGCAATAAAGCGATCGACACACACTCGGAATAGGTCACTTATATTGTTCGTACCTCTTTTTCCACACAGGTGGCGACCACTTCCCTTCCATCTTCCAGAAGAGGAGTAGCGGTAGCCGCCAGAACGTCAGCATGCGTTTGGAATTATATTTCAGTTTAATGTTGAAAATTTCATCCTTCTTTCGGTCGATCTGTCTTTTCTCTCATTATTTCATCACACACACACACACACACATATATACATATATATATATATATATATATATATATATATATATATATATATATATATATATACGCACACACACAAAGAGAAAGAGAGAGAGATAATATGGCTTTCATATATGATTCATTTGCAGTCTTTCTAGCCGGAAGCGGTTTTGGCATAGCTAATGATTTCTCTCGTCTTTATAGATAATACTTGAAGGTTTCTAGGGATGGTGTGGTCTGAGTTGCAAAAGGAATTAACATGTTAAAGCTTTGTAACCAAACATCTGCAGTTATTCAAATCCATCGATCTTTCCAAGAATAATTTCCTGGCAGAAAATTCTCTTCTCGGTACAGCATCCTCCGCAATCAAGTAGTTCTTCCAGGCACACACACACACACACACACACACACACACACACACACATATATATATATATATATATATATATATATATATATATACGCTCAATCAATGATTACATATAGATACATACGTATGTGTGTGATGTTATTTGCAGTGGATGTGTTTACGGTCACAAGATTCTGCCTTTATCAGAATTAAATGTGGATTTCTTACTTAAAATTATGCTTATAAAATATTAGCTTTCTAACTTTTGCACTACTGGCCTTTAGTATATGTGTGTTGATGGAATAGATTTTTTTTACTTCACCTATTCAGGCACATGTTCGGATCTCTGATGTTTTCGTCTCCGCCTCCTACGCTAACTGCGTGATCCCAGGCAAGACTTTTGATGCTCTTTAGCTGAAGGCAGACAAATCTTATTCTTGAAATATTTCAACTATTTTTTTAAATCAATTTCACCTCATTCAAGGCAGTAAAGCCACTAAGACACAAGGGGTTACTGGGTGTGAAAGAATTAGAAAACAGAAACATTATTAAGAAGTGAGACCAATAGAAGAGTGAGTGATCAGGAAGATAGTAGATAGCGATTGACATCGCATTTCGCTTTTTGAAAATTAAAGTTGACTGGAACCCATGGAGCCGAAAGGGAGTTCCACAAGCGGGAAGTGCGAGAAAAGTCACTGTTGGCGTAGGATTTACAATTATATCTAGCCGGCTCATTTGTAAAATGATGAGATCTGCACGCCAGTCTAGTACTGCGCTTAAATTAAAAAAAAATTTAGGATCTATATCGAAGAAGTCATAAGAAGAATTACCATGAAAGTATTTATGAAAAAGACATAGGGGGGGCGGGGGGCAACCTTACGGAGATGGGAGAGTGACTGTAGCCGAACCGCCAGATCAGGACCGATAATATTGCTGATTTTTCTTTGGGTTTTATCAAGGAGCTCAAGGTAAATAAAGAGGGGCGCTGAACCATATGTGGCAGCAATATTCTAAGCATGGACGATTGATAGACTTATAGATATTTGTTTTGATGAAAGATTCGCTTCCATTAGTAAATTATGAAGTCAGACTAAATTTTGTTGGAAACAGTGAAGTTAGACGTTCATTATATCAAACCTCGACATTCATTTTGACTTCGAAACGGAATTGAACGAAACTATATTACGGATTTTATACTTTCAGCCTCTACCTTCTCCTTTGCATGTGAATCGAAAGAGACAGAAGAGTATCTGATGTCTCAGGCATCCTCCAAAAGGAAATTACCAAAGTAACTGAGCAGTTCCTCACTGTCCACGGACGGGGCGCTATATTAAGTGCGACCTTATGACAAAACTAGCAACCTGGATATACGGGTAAACTTATTTATAATAGAGAAATTATTCTTTGAGGCAAAACAAAAAATTGTTATTACTATCCGAACTTAATGCATACAGTACGTTTAAAATACTCACGTAGAATAAAATCTGCAGCTACATTCTGCTAGGGTTGTTCACGTATAGTAGCGTTTACCGGCACAGACATTAGATTAAAAAAAAGCCAATGAAAATTAGGAGTTTAGTTTGGATGTAAATAATCTCGTTTATGTCACATAAATGGTGGATTCATTATTTTACCCATTTCGCACTGTTTAACGGATACTACAGGAACTCCTATAGAATGTAGTAAATGACTAAATAACAGTAGTGAGAAGAAAGTGAAGAAAGGACTAAAAGCCAACAGTAAGCAGAATGAGAAGAGAGGACTAAACGTTAATAGTAAGAGAAAAGGCACTAAAAGCCAATAGTAAGAAGAAAGATAAGAAAGGATGAATCTTTAATAGTAAGAGAAAGGACTTAACGTTAATAGTGTTATGGGACCTTAGCCATAATAACATAATGGACTATTCCATACGTAATAAATATTGCGCCTCAAGAGGAAGCAGGCAGTTCCATCTGAAGTCTGGAGTGAAGTCCGGCAGGAGTCTGTCAGTCAGTCAGAGCGAGTCAGTCAGTCGAGTCAGAGGCAGTCCGAAACAGAGGCGCGTTCAGACAATTACTACTAACCCTGATTGTTCGTACTAACACTTTCTACTTCTCTGTATATATTCCTGTTTGTAATATATCTGTGTTATTCCATATCCGTATTTGAGTTCTTCTTTATTGGTTCTGCCTTGGACTATCACCGTGGTACAAGGAACCGGACCCTAACAAATAGTAAGAAGAGAAAAGGCACTAAACGCCAATAGCAAGAATAAAGAGAAGGACTAAAAGCCAATAGTAAGAAGAAAGAAGACTAAACGTTAACAGTAAGAAATAAGAGAAGAAAGGACTAAACTTTAATAGTAAGAAGTAAAAAAAAGGCACTAAACGCCAGTATCAATAAGAAAGAAATGAAAGAACTACACACTAGTAGTAAGAGGAAAGAGAATAGTGAATTAAACACCAAAAACAACATCAGAAAGAAGAACAGTCCAAAATCCAAATTAAAAATATGGGTTACCGAAATTTTGCAACTACAATAATTTAAATAACTGGTAAGTGTTTTAACATAGGATGAGAAGGACGACACGGAGACTCGAGATAGCGAAAGTTAATTTTCAAATTCTAAATATAGTATTAAGAAACAGGAAAATTCCGTTAGAAGCAAAGGTTACTGTTATTTAATCTCAGTCCTCCTATATAAATCGATGGACACAGATGAAGAAGGGAAATGTGATTTCACAGAATATTGGGAGAATACTATCGCCTGAACATGTAACGACCAAGTTTTAAAGAAAACGGAAACAAAACGGACACTTAGAGTTAGCATCAGAAAGAGAGAATTGAAATTTCTAGGGCACATTATGACGAAAGAGAGTCAAGATAAGTTGACGTATTGAAGTCAAGAGCGACTGAGGGAAACAGCGTGAAACCTACCTGAGGATATTGTGTAAATAGTTGGCAGACGAGGTTTTAGAAGAGAAAGCAAGGAGCGAAAATTTACCTCGAGTTACAAAGGCGAGGTCATTGTAGAAGGCCCTGATCGCTAACGCCCTGAAGAGACACGGCATATAGAGAAAGAAGAGCTAATTAAATAACAAGAGTTTTGAATTTTCATTATATAAAATTCTGAAATGTTTTCGCAGGGGCACAAAGTCATATTAGTGCAATAAGAACTGACGTTAAAAGATCATTCATCACAATAAAGCTCAATGCTTTATTGCTCCTCTCTCATTAGAACAAAAATCGAGGAAAAAACAGCGACTAAAAATATATGCAACCCCAGACTAATGTTATTATTTAAGCAAAAAATATCACGTCAAAAGCTAATTACATTTAAACTCAACAACAACTCATTCTGCTAACAGTGAGATGGCCGGTAGGACTTAATATATATTGATTCCAAAAACTGATATTATTTTTTATTTTTGTAATGACTTTTATTCTTATGAATGGCCTTTTCCCATATTGGCTTTTATTGCTCTAATAAAACATTTTGACATTTTATTCACTCCAGTATTTCGTCAATTGCTCTCAGTTAATCTGTGATACAAGGTCTGTCGTCGTATCCTCGTCCGTCAAAATTTCTGTCTACAATATGTGAGAGACTGTTAATCATGTCTAGGGTTATTTTTTTTATATATCAATCTATCCAATATTCTTGTTTTCACGCTTGCAATAATAGATGAAGGTGTGTGGTTACGTACTGCTATATTCGGTGTGAAACATGCATCCGACTTAATCTGACTGTCGATGGCAAAATTAGAATGAAATGTTTCTTAAGGCATAATACCAAACATATGAAAACGAGAGAGGAGTCGTTCTACCAATGAATGTTGAATGATTGATTCGTTTTCTACGGCTTATGAGCAATTTGAAGGTTATTTAATGCTAAGAAATATTTTTAGATTGTTTTTTTTTAGATAATAATGGTCCTATATTTCTGAGATGAGGTATTATGTACACTATTTACATTATTCGGACTATTGTCCTCAACTTGTCGCCATATTTATTGCAACGTTTCGGCCGTTGTACGCTCCAGGTGGTTGGAATGTCGAACTGAACCCTTTATTTCGCTGATTGGGGTAGACTGTTCTAGACTGTTCTGTCATATTTTAATGGATGTCAATTGGATGTTAAGTCCCTCTGTTTTTCCATTTAATCAGGTATTGAACTCACTTTTTGTCTCTGTCATCTGTATTCTAACTAACGCCTTTATCCACTGTGCCACATGACACAGGACACATGGTGCAGTGTATAAAGGCATTAGTTAGATCCAGTGACAGGACCCTAAGTGCGTGAGTTCAATACCCGGTTAAGGCAGTGGCGAAGTTGCAGAGTGGAATTAACAGGAGATAACTGACAACTGACGTCCATTAAAACATGGCACGTGGAACTAGAAAAGTCTACCCCAGTGAGCGAAATAAAGGGTTCAGTTCGGCATTTCAACCACCTGAAGAAGGCCAGAGCGTACAACGGCCAAAACGTTGTAATAAATATGGCGACAAAGATGAGGACAATAGTCCGAATAATGTAAATAGTGTAATAATGGTAATAATAGTTCAGCTATACAAATCCTGATAATTAATATAGAGCTGGGGAGAAGATCTGGACATATATTTCTCGGAGGTATTAGCGCGTAAGCGTATATAACCAACCCAACGGAAATTGAAACAAGGCTCTCAGATTAACAACTCTGAGACGTTATCTATTATTACACAACCCGCACATCCACGTCTGGTCAGCCAGCTAGGTATTGACCACGTTTGGCATTGTTTAACATCGTTGATCATAAAGAAACTTGTGTTTCGACGTGATTAATAAGCTGTAGTCGAATCAATAAACAATAATTTTCATTGCAGCTTGAAAAAAAAAGTTTTACTACACAAGCCAGAGTAAACGATTTTGAATTCTGTCAAGTCTGAAAAAGAGATGCTCGACCAGATTTAAGTTTGCCCAAGGCTACAAATCTCTGGATATCAGCTGAGATCGATCGACTAGGCTTAATTGACAACAATTGCTTTCTGGTTACTTTCTCTTTTTTATTTCCACATCTTTTCTACGTTCTGTTATATGTTTTATGCTTTTCGCATGATTATTTCATTTTCTTTTAAGGTTGGAGATATTTTTTTTAATTAATATTCACGAAATGCAAACCACAAGAACCATTTTTTCTGTCTTTTATCTTCTTTTTCTTCCTCTTAACTTTCACAGAATTCGTTCCTCTTCTTCGCCGTGTCCATTCAGAACGTTGGTGATCGTAGCTCTCCAAGATTCCCTGTACTTTGTAGCTTTTAATAAAAACTAGCAGTAGAGCCCGGCGTTGCCCGGGGATGTAACGTAAGAGATAGATCAAGTATCGACCATCATAAAGACTGAAAAATAAAATTGACAAAGATTATTGTTTAAGTTTGACGGACACGCATGTCTTAATTAGTTTTTTTTGTTTTGTTTTGTTTTTTTTACGAATTGGTCAAACCCAAACTCATTTCAATCGTTATGAGTCTACCGATTGAATAGAATTTTATTATAAACAATTTTCGTGTAAATGGAATTTTTAAAGCATTCTGAATGTAAAAATAAAGAAAAAAGTGTGCAAGATAATAAGAAACACTACCTGCCAAAAAAAAGTAAAGTTTTGTTGAAACACACACACACACACACACACACACATACACACACACAAACAAACAACCAACCTGGTTTTATAATAAGTATAACTCGATATGAGTTGGCCCCTTTCATTCTCGCGATGCCTCTTAATCGTGTTTTCAAATTGATTTCGTGCAAAAACAATTGTGTTTTTCAAATTTTTGGCGATGTCAGAACCACCGCAAGGTAATTTTGCGTAGTCCTGTGAAGTTTTGTTGAAATCGGTTGAAAAATGTAGGAAATCTGATTCAATATATAAACAAACAGACACACACACACACACACACACACACAACCTGGGTTTTATAATGAGTATGATTGTCTTTTTGTTATCTCTCCTTACGCATTTTCAGTCATTCATTTATACAAGCTCGTTAGGGAAGTTATGCACTTTTCCCTCTGTCCATCGTCCCTTCAGTATCTCCCGCGAGTTCCAAATTATCCAAGCCCTCATTCATCACATTATGCGCCTTACAAATTTCAGCTGCCTATTTCTTATGCTCCCTGTCAGTGTATTTTTTCCCATTTTCTGCCACACTTTGTTGTTACTCCCATACAAAACGTAAATCTTTATTCTCTTGCAATTCGTTCGTGCAATAAGAATTGCGGCCATATCTGATCTGGTACTCCCGATATATATCTCGTGATTATTGACAAAATTCAAAGAACGGTATGTAATCTAATCGATCCAGACCTGTCATCTCGACTCCAGTCATTTTTTCTCCGATGTGACGTGGCTCCCCTCTGTCTTTTGTACAAATATTATCATGGAAATTGTTCTGATCAGCTTTTCTCCTTAGTGCATCGACTGAATGAATTTAAGCGTGATATTAGATTGACAACTAGGTTTCGGTGTTTTTAATTTTGAACTAGCTAAATGCAACCATATTTTGTATTCTAATAGTTTTTTTTTCTCGCACATCTCGTCTGAGTAACTGTCTTCCAAAATTTAAATGCTACGCCAATCGTCATCATCTGTCTTCCTGATTTCAATTTTTTTATTGTTCTTCCTCCTAAGTTCACATCACTAAAGTCTTCTC